GAAGATTTGTTAGCCACCATTCTTTGACGTGAGGTATTCGCCTTTCTCTGGATCTAAACCAGGAACGTGAGTATAATGAAATCACACCACCTGCTGCATTAGATGCATGTACGGGATGGGCAGTTAACTGGTTTTAACAGTCTGGGCATTAGTTAAATCCAGTGTATGGGTACTAAATAGCACAGTAGAACTTTGTTGTACATGTGACAAACACATTTAGCATTAAATCATAAAGATTTAAAGAGATGTATGACATAAACCTAGCAATACACATGTATACTGAGCATAATAAAGATGTGAAAATGTATATGGGGTAATACATAATAGGAACGCATGCTGAGTCTGCTAAGTAACATGATAATAGAACTGGGTTTATGATGGATGACAATATGTACTGCCGCCATATAGCTGGGCTACTGCTGAGTGTAGCCTATAAACAACAAACAAACATACAAACTAGTCTCAGTGGTAGTGGTATCTGTCTGATGATCACAGCTCCTACAAACAAACATACAAACTAGTCTCAGTGGTAGTGGTATCTGCCTGGTGATCACAGCTCCTACCGACACATGAGACAGAATAAGATTTATCCCTAAATTCACTTTGCAACAACATGGAGTGCTATTCACATTAAACAAGTTTACAAATCTGTACAAATATATGCTCAGTTACAATGGCTCTACGCAATAGTGAGTGAGTGGGTAAGTATGGTTTTACGCCGATTTTAGCAATATTCCAGCAATATCACGGAGGAAGACACCAGAAATGGGCTTCACACATTGTACCCATGTGGGGAATCGAACCCTGGTCTTCAGCGTGACGAGCTGACGCTTTAACCACTAGGCCACCCCACCGCCCTCAGTACACGATAGAATGGCTATATAAAATCCAATGGCAGTATAATAACTATGTCAGTATAAAATACAAATAACAGCAGTTGTAACAGCAATAAACCCAGTGATAATACTATTCTCCAAGCAGCAACAGTAATCAAACAGACAGACCTGGACTCGATATCCAGAGTGAAAATATGATCTTCACACAACTATAATAATCAGACCTAGACTCGATATCCAGAGTGAAAATATGATCTTCACACAACTATAATAATCAGACCTAGACTCGATATCCAGAGTGAAAATATGATCTTCACACAACTATAATAAACAGACCTAGACTCGATATCCTGAGTGAAAATATGATCTTCACACAATTTTATAAAACAGACCTAGACTCGATATCCATGGTGAAAATATGATCTTCACACAACTTTATTAAATAGACCTGGACTCGATATCCTGTGTGAAAATATGATCTTCACACAATTTTCTAAAATAGACCTGGACTCGATATCCAGGGTGAAATTATGATCTTCACACAACTATAATAAATAGACTTAGATTCGATATCCTGTGTGAAAATATGATCTTCACACAATTTTATAAAACAGACCTAGACTCGATATCCATGGTGAAAATATGATCTTCACACAACTATAATAATCAGACCTAGACTCGATATCCAGAGTGAAATATGATCTTCACACAACTATAATAAACAGACCTAGACTCGATATCCATGGCGGAAATATGATCGTCAGACAACTTTACAAAACAGACCTAGACTGGATATCCATGGTGAAAATATTGTCTTCACACAACTATATAAAAACAGATCTAGACTGGATATCCAGGATGAAATATGATCTTCACACAACTATAATAAACAGACCTAGACTTGATATCCAGGGTGAAAATATGATCTTCACACAACTATAATAAACAGACCTAGACTTGATATCCAGGGTGAAAATATGATCTTCACACAACTATAATAAACAGACCTAGACTTGATATCCAAGGTGAAAATATGATCTTCACACAAATATGATGAACAGACCTAGATTCGATATCCATGGTGAAAAGATGATCTTCACACAACTATAATAAACAGACCTAGACTCGATATCCATGGCGGAAATATGATCGTCAGACAACTTTATAAAACAGACCTAGACTGGATATCCATGGTGAAAATATTGTCTTCACACAACTTTATAAAAACAGATCTAGACTGGATATCCAGTTTGAAAATATGATCTTCACACAACTATATAAAACAGACCTAGATTAGATATCCCGGGTGACATATGATATTCACAAAACTTTATAAAACAGACCTAGATTAGATATCCAAGGTGAAAATATGATCTTCACAAAACTTTATAAACACACCTAGACTGGATATCCATTTTGAAAATATGATCGTCAGACAACTTTATAAAACAGACTTTGACTCGATATCCAGGTGAATATTTGGCACTTTTAGAGCCACTTAAGAAGACACTTCCACTTGTAAAATGTTACATGAAACCAAGAGAAATATATGTATATTTGGTACTTTTAGAGCACATTTTGTTGCTATGGAAATCAAGATCAGATAATTCAAAGGGAGCTAATTCTGGATGACCCAATATATTGCAGAATCTGAACCATATCGCGATAATCGTATCGCGAGATACTGTACCGGTATATACCGGTAATATTGCACAGCCCTACTTCACACAGTACTTAATGTGAGACGAGAGAAGCATGTACCTGTCCACTTACATAGTGACAAGATATGGAGTTATTTATTCACATGACAAGGGAATAAACAACACATATGTAATCTGACAGGCCACAGATTACCTACCCATCCCAACTACTCGCCTCACAAAACACCTTCCCCATTAGATGTCTACCACTGATAATGCCTGCTTAGTGACTGCACTTCCAGTGTACATCCGGGACTCGAATGTCTGTGCTTTCAATGCAGATTTAAAAATTATGACTAATAGTGTTGTCAAGAAATATCATTTTAAAACCCACATAAGTGTAGATAGAAACATTTCTTAACGAGGCAGATGTTGCCACCAATCCTTCGACTCTGCGTTTTTGTCTTAAATTGGTAATAGACTACACAAACATACAGTCACGAACAGTCGATAATTGTATTCATGACTGACGGAGGTACATCGTGTCGGCAAAGTTTGCTATTCGACGAATGATTGTCATTGCTTCTTGCCATTCAATTATCAGTATTGGGTGATAAAAAGGTCACGTATTCTGTCTACCTCAATGCACCTGGAATTTCTAACACTTATAAATTATCTATGCATAATCCATACATGCACATTGCTTATTATTTATAACATGATGTTTAATTAAGTGGACACGGACTATGAAGGTCATGTTTGATCGACCGGAAATAACAAATGTCATGAACTATACTGTATTTGTATTTAAACGTGTAATTTCATGTGAAACTTGTCTTTTTAATGTATAATACCTCCGCCCAATCACATTCGTGTCACCCGTGAAGATCTGGGTTAGAACTGGTCTTCAGCAACCCATGCTTGCCGTACGAGGCTACTAACGGGATTACGTGGTCAGGCTCGCTGACTTGGTTGACACATGTCATCGTATCCCAATTGTGTAGATCTATGCTCATGCTGTTGATCACTGGATTGTCTGGTCCAGACTCGATTATTTACAGACCACCGTCATATAGCTGGAATATTGCCAAGTGCGGCGTTAAACAACAAACCAACCAACAAATTCGTGCAACTAAAACATGGATAATTCTTGTTTTAATAAAATTTAAAAAATCTCTTGTGTTCATTCGCTTGAATAGTTATAATGAGGGACAGGACGCGCTCACTTTTTGCATCCTTTTGTCGTCTCAAACGGACAGGTATTTTAAAACATATGATTATGATATACATTTAGTCGGAATCAGACAATCGACTAGCAACGATTTCTTATGACTATAGAACCAGTTTTGTCAGTTTACGTTACGAAGTATATCGAAATAAAGATGTCACGTAATATGCACACTCGTTTTGATAATGGCCCAGCGTAGGTGGTTTGATGCTGTGTGTCGCATTCAAATTCAGTTCCATTTCAAATAGTACTTTAATCATGCTAGGTCATGGCAAGTACATTTTTCCAGTCCACTAGATGAAGACTTTAACATGGATGATGAGAAGAACTAAATAGATAATTAACTGTCATTAACAGAAACAATAAAACACTAAACGACATAAACATCTTGCTCCTAAACAAATATCATTTTTTTGTAAATTTCTGTGTTTATTGATAGTCAATCGTTTTACATTACAAAGGGTATTTTCTTGGGACCTTATATAGCCCCATGAATTACGATGCATGAGGCTCCTTATGCACCAAAATCATTAAGGTTAGAAACGGACATCACAGTTTAGACGAATTTACTAATTTTATTTATAACAATCAATAATATTTACTACACAAAGCATGAATTTGAATTAGACTTTCGATCAGAAGGTCTCGTGTGGCATGTATGATTAATACAACCCCTCGCCATCGGTTTTCGGTTACCATCGAACTGTACCCAGTGTTCAGAACAATGTGTCGATCCAGTATTTGTGTTGCCGTAACGTGCTATCAAAATGTTTTGATCCTAACATATACTACCCATCAAAAGTTTAGACTCACTTAAAGCACTCACTGTATGTGGATGTATATATCGTTACATCGAAGATGAATTTCTACACTAACTTGGGGAACCAACTGCAAATCTTATGCAGATCAATTGCACGAGGATCATCTGTCAAATTGCTGAAAAGCATGTGCAAATATCGTGCATGTGAACAGCTGCGTTTTAGGTGTAAAGGTTTGTTAAGAATTCGCCAATTCTCAGTGAGTTTCTCATTTATTGAACTCATAACAATAAACCTTTCAACTTTACGAATTTGTTTAACAATACATCAGTTCATGTGTAAACAGTACCTTGAAACAGTGTGGAATATTTTGCAAAATCTGGTTTAGAACAGTTGACTGAAGTAAGTGGCTATATTTACACTAGTAAGTCTAAACTTTTGATGGGTAGTATATGTAGAGGCAGAACATCGATACAATTCCCGTATATTTCTCAACATAATTGCCTTGTAAGTCGATGCACTTGGTCCATCTTGTCGGTCAGGTATTTATGACTTGTCTATAGAAGTCCTTTTCCTGGTCCTGTATCCACGTCTCTACAGCTGTAGTGAGTTCGTGATCATCCTCAAATCTCCTACCACGGTGGTGCTTCTTCACGTTAGGAAACAGGTGGTAGTCAGTTGGTGCCAGGTCTGGAGAATAGGGTGGGTGAGGTAGGATTTCAAATCCACATTCATCGACAGCAGCCAGTGAAACACGACTGGTATGGACTGGAGCGTTGTCCTGATGAAGAAGAACTCCACGCCTGAGTTTGCCTTGGCGCTTTTTCTTGATGGACTGTCTCACTATAATACCATGATATTCCTCATTCATCGTAGTTCCTCGTGGAAGGTAATCTATGTGGATGATGCCTTGGCTATTCCAAAATATGATGACCATAACCTTCCTGGTCAATCTGGATGACTTGAACTTCTTGGTAGGAGGAGACTTGGCGTGCTTCCACTCCATGGAGTCCTGTTTGCTCCCAGGGTCATAGTGATGAATCCACGTTTCATCACAAGTAACTAACCTAAAATGAAAATCATCTGTGTTTTGTTTATATCTTGTTCTCATGGCATTACTTATGGTGACCCTCGTGAGCTTCATTTCGCTGGAGCTGGAGCTGGAGCTGCAGCTGATGTTGGTGGTGGTGCTAGTGCTGAAGCTGGAGGTGGAGCTGATGTTGGTGGTGGTGCTGGAGCTGGAGCTGGAGGTGGAGCTGATGTTGGTGGTGGTGCTAGTGCTGGAACTGGAGCTGATCTTGGTGGTGTTGCTGGTGCTCGAGCTGATGTTGGTGGTGGTGGTGCTGGAGCTGGAACTGGAACTGGAGCTGATGTTGGTGGTGGTGCTGGAGCTGGAGCTGATGTTGGTGGTGGTGGTGCTGGAGCTGGAGCTGGAGCTGGAGCTGATGTTGGTGGTGGTGCTAGTGCTGGAACTGGAGCTGATCTTGGTGGTGTTGCTGGTGCTCGAGCTGATGTTGGTGGTGGTGGTGCTGGAGCTGGAACTGGAACTGGAGCTGATGTTGGTGGTGGTGCTGGAGCTGGAGCTGATGTTGGTGGTGGTGGTGCTGGAGCTGGAGCTGGAGCTGGAGCTGCAGCTGATGTTGGTGGTGGTGCTAGTGCTGGAGCTGGAGCTGATGTTGGTGGTGGTGCTGGAGCTGGAGCTGATGTTGGTGGTGGTGGTGCTGGAGCTGGAGCTGGAGCTGGAGCTGATGTTGGTGGTGTTGCTGGAGCTGGAGCTGGAGCTGATGTTGGTGGTGGTGCTGGAGCTGGAGCTGGAGCTGATGTTGGTGGTGGTGCTGGTGGTGGTGCTGGAGCTGGAACTGGAACTGGAGCTGATGTTGGTGGTGGTGCTGGTGCTCGAGCTGGAGCTGGAGCTGGAGCTGGAGCTGAGCTGGTGCTGGTGCTGGAGCTGGAGCTGGAGCAAATGTGGTGGTGGTGCTGGAGCTGGCTGGAGCTGATGTTGGTGGTGGTGCTGGTGCTGGGAGCTGGAGCTGGAGCTGGAGGTGGTGCTGGTGGAGCTGGTGGAGCTGGAGCTGGAGCTGATGTTGGTGGTGGTGCTGGAGCTGGAGCTGATGCTGGTGGTGGTGGTGGTGCTGGAGCTGGAGCTGATGCTGGTGGTGGTGCTGGAGCTGGAGCTGGAGCTGATGCTGTTGGTGGTGCTGGAGCTGGAGCTGAGGCTGATGCTGGTGGTGGTGGTGCTGGAACTGGAGCTGGAGCTGATGCTGTTGGTGGTGCTGGGGCTGGAGCTGGAGCTGGAACTGGAGCTGATGTTGGTGGTGGTGCTGGAGCTGGAGCTGGAGCTGATGCTGTTGGTGGTGCTGGAGCTGGAGCTGGAGCTGATGTTGGTGGTGGTGCTCGAGCTGGAGATGATGTTGGTGGTGGTGCTGGAGCTGGAGCTGGAGCTGATGCTGTTGGTGGTGCTGGAGCTGGAGCTGGAGCTGATGTTGGTGGTGGTGCTCGAGCTGGAGATGATGTTGGTGGTGGTGCTGGAGCTGGAGCTGGAGCTGATGCTGTTGGTGGTGCTGGAGCTGGAGCTGGAGCTGATGTTGGTGGTGGTGGTGCTGGAACTGGAGCTGGAGCTGATGCTGTTGGTGGTGCTGGGGCTGGAGCTGGAGCTGGAGCTGGAGCTGGAGCTGGAGCTGAAGGTGGAGCTGATGTTGGTGGTGGTGCTGGTGCTGGAGCTGGAGCTGCAGCTGGAGCTGATGTTGATGTTGTTGGTGGTGGTGGTTGTGCTGCTGCTGCTGTTGCTGTTGGTGGTGGTGGTGTTGGTGTGGATGTGCTGGAGCTGGAGCTGGAGCTGATGTTGTTGTTGTTGTTGGTGGTGCTGCTGGTGCTGTTGCTGCTGCTGGTGGTGGTGCTGGTGTGGATGTGCTGGAGCTGGAGCTGGAGCTGATGTTGTTGTTGTTGGTGGTGGTGCTGCTGGTGCTTTGCCATGACGGGGTTCATCTTCAAGACCCTCTCTACCGCACTGTAATTCTCTCACCCTTGCAGACGATGGGCATGACTTCCTATATACTGCTGTCAATCGCTCTTCAATGTGCTTCGCTGGGTGTCCCTCGAGGACCAAAAACTTTATGACTGCTCTGTACTCAGGCTTATCCATTTCTGCCCTTTCAATAGGGGTACTTGTGATAAGATGTCACGATGTAAGTAGCGACTTGTGCATGTCAATTTTACGTTTATGTGAATGATATAAACCTTTCTTCAATAGAGTGTGTTATATCAAGACCGTACCGAAGTGTGCCTTGAGTGTTGTATGAGTGTTGTATGAGACTATATCGAAGTGTGCCCTGAGTATAAAATCTAAATACTATATCGAAGTTTGCCCTGAGTGCTATATCAAGACTATATCGAAGTGTGTTCTGAGTGTTACATCAAGACTATATCGAAGTGTGCTCTGAGTGCTACATCAAGACTATATCGAAGTGTGTTCTGAGTGTTATATCAAGACTATATCGAAGTGTGTTCTGAGCGCTATATCAAGCTATATCGAAGTGTGCTCTGAGTGTTATATCAATACTATATCGAAGTGTGTTCTGAGTGTTACATCAAGACTATATCGAAGTGTGCTCTGCGTGTTACATCAGTACTATATCGAAGTGTGCTCTGAGTGCTACATTAAGACTATATCGAAGTGTGTTCTGAGTGTTATATAAAGACTATATCGAAGTGTGTTCTGAGTGTTATATCAAGACTATATCGAAGTGCGCACTGACTATAATATATAAATACTATATCGAAGTGTGCTCTGGGTGCTATATCAAGACTATATCGAAGTGTGCTCTGAGTGTTATATCAAGACTATATCGAAGTGTGCTCTGAGTGTTATATCAAGACTATATCGAAGTGTGTTCTGAGTGTTACATCAAGACTATATCGAAGTGTGCTTTGAGTGCTACATCAAGACTATATCGAAGTGTGTTCTGAGCTATATCAAGCTATATCGAAGTGTGCTCAGGGTGGTATATCAAGACTATACCGAAGTGTGCCCTGAGTGTTATATCAAGACTATATCGAAGTGTGTTCTGAGTGCTATATCAAGACTATATCGAAGTGTGCTCTGAGTGCTATATCAAGACTTTATCTAAGTGTGTTCTGAGTGCTATATCAAGCTATATCGAAGTGTGCTCTGAATGTTATATCAATACTATATCGAAGTGTGTTCTGAGTGTTACATCAAGACTATATCGAAGTGTGCTCTGCGTGTTACATCAGTACTATATCGAAGTGTGCTCTGAGTGCTACATCAAAACTATATCAAAGTGTGTTCTGAGTGTTATATCAAGACTATATCGAAGTGTGCACTGAGTATAATATATAAATACTATATCGAAGTGTGCTCTGAGTGCTATATCAAGACTATATCGAAGTGTGCCCTGAGTGTTGTAGGAAGACTATATCGAAGTGTGCCCTGAGTATAAAATATAAATTCTATATCGAAGTGTGCCCTGAGTGCTATATCGAGACTATATCGAAGTGTGCTCTGAGTGCTATATCAAGACTATATCGAAGTGTGCCCTGAATATAATATATAAATTCTATATCGAAGTGTGCTCTGAGTGCTATATCAAGACTATATCGAAGTGTGCCCTGAGTGTTGTAGGAAGACTATATCGAAGTGTGCCCTGAGTATAAAATATAAATTCTATATCGAAGTGTGTTCTGAGTGCTATATCAAGACTATATCGAAGTGTGCTCTGAGTATAATATATAAATACTATATCGAAGTGTGCTCTGAGTGCTATATCAAGACTGTACCGAAGTGTGCCCTGAGTGTTGTAGGAAGACTATATCGAAGTGTGCCCTGAGTATAAAATATAAATTCTATATCGAAGTGTGCCCTGAGTGCTATATCGAGACTATATCGAAGTGTGCTCTGAGTGCTATATCAAGACTATATCGAAGTGTGCCCTGAGTGTTGTATGAAGACTATATCGAAGTGTGCCCTGAGTATAAAATATAAATTCTATATCGAAGTGTGCTCTGAGTGCTATATCAAGACTATATCGAAGTGTGCCCTGAGTGTTGTAGGAAGACTATATCGAAGTGTGCCCTGAGTATAAAATATAAATTCTATATCGAAGTGTTCTGAGTGCTATATCAAGACTATACCGAAGTGTGCCCTGAGTGTTGTATGAAGACTATATCGAAGTGTGCTCTGAGTGTTATATCAAGACTATATCGAAGTGTGTTCTGAGTGCTATATCAAGACTATATCGAAGTGTGCTCTGAGTGCTATATCAAAACTATATCTAAGTGTGGTCTGAGTGCTATATCAAGCTATATCGAAGTGTGCTCTGAATGTTATATCAATACTATATCGAAGTGTGTTCTGAGTGTTACATCAAGACTATATCGAAGTGTGCTCTGCGTGTTACATCAGTACTATATCGAAGTGTGCTCTGAGTGGTACATCAAGACTATATCAAAGTGTGTTCTGAGTGTTATATCAAGACTATATCGAAGTGTGCACTGAGTATAATATATAAATACTATATCGAAGTGTGCTCTGAGTGCTATATCAAGACTATATCGAAGTGTGCCCTGAGTGTTGTAGGAAGACTATATCGAAGTGTGCCCTGAGTATAAAATATAAATTCTATATCGAAGTGTGCCCTGAGTGCTATATCGAGACTATATCGAAGTGTGCTCTGAGTGCTATATCAACACTATATCGAAGTGTTCCCTGAGTGTTGTATGAAGACTATATCGAAGTGTGCCCTGAGTATAAAATATAAATTCTATATCGAAGTGTGCTCTGAGTGCTATATCAAGACTATATCGAAGTGTGCCCTGAGTGTTGTAGGAAGACTATATCGAAGTGTGCCCTGAGTATAAAATATAAATTCTATATCGAAGTGTGTTCTGAGTGCTATATCAAGACTATATCGAAGTGTGCCCTGAGTGTTGTATGAAGACTATATCGAAGTGTGCTCTGAGTGTTATATCAAGACTATATCGAAGTGT